TTTTTTTTTTACTGGAATGTTCCACAATGTGACATTAAATAGCTCTACTTTACATTTATTCAATTACAGGTGGTTTTACAGCTCAAAAATACCAAGAAAAACAGACATTCTGGTTGTGAGCGGAGTGGCCTCTCCACGGACATGACGTGTAACTTGGTTTGGTCTCCAGTGAAGACCGAGAGGTTTAGTGTCATACTGTGAAACACTTCAAACAAAGCAATAACATCTCCATGGAGAAAATCAGGTAGCAGACCCTCCACCAGAAAAATTACACAATGTACCTTTGAGTTTAAGTTTATATTCTGAGAAAATATCCACAATATGACTTTAATTGATCTCTATTACAAAAACATGCTTTTGTGTGAGTGGGCTTGCCTCTCCACAGATCTGACCTATTATTGGCCAAGTGGTATGTGGAGCTGGAGGTCAAACATTCCAGCATATTTCATATCAGTGAAAACATGCAGACAAAGGAGTCTCCACTGAAAATGTTACGCAATTCATCTTTAAAATTATACATTAACAACAGTGTTGGTGTGAACAGCTAATGAAGTCTTCAGTTTAGGGTTGGGTGATGTCACCTTAATTGGCAGTTCATGATGTTTACAGTGAATCATCGTGATGGACGGTGATATGGGGGGTAGAGTGGAGCATTCAGTAAATTTCCAGAATCGTAAAAATACATATCAATCTAGTTCAGTGAAAAGCAATGTGTAACATGCTCAAGGCTTCTTTTATTTGAAAATATATTAGGATGATAAATGCTTAACATTCACAACATGTTTGTGTGCCATGTGGGATGTTCGTGCTTCGTCCGGATGCCCTCCCGCAGCAGAGCACAGCGTCTCACCCGCTCTCTGTATCGGCTCAGCTCTGCTCTATAGTTTGGTTTGATCTGGATCTGTACAAAAGCTGCTCATCCACATGAAGCCATTTACTGTTCTGTTCTAAAGTCTGTTTTTTTACCCTGTCTGTGGTCCTAATTAGAGCCCGGCCGATATATCGGTTGGCCGATATTATCGGCTGATATGGGCAACTTTAGGCATATCGACTATCGGCCGATATGCTTGCTGATAGGGGCCGATATTTCATGTGGGCATGTTATACCTCGTTATAAAGCTCAGACTTTCTACATTCTGTTCATTTAATCCAATCTACAGACAGATAAATGTCCTCATATGTGGCTCCACATCAGTATTTATCTACGGAGTCATTTGTCTGTGTGTGACCGTACACCCCTAGTGGTAATACAGGAAGGGCTCCACTGTGTTTTTAAACTCTACACTTTCACTAGAATCATTTGGTTAAGTTCAGCTCTGGAATTGTCAATCTCTACTGAACTAAAGGTAAAAGGAGCTGTTAACTTGAAAACTACCACTTCATGACATCACAACGTGGAACAGAGCAGGGTTTAAGATTATTTTCATCGATTATATTAATGGAGGAGGAAGTTCTGAGATTGTTGTGTGGAGGAAGTGCAGCATGTGTTAGAGACAGAAGCTGTGAAAGTGAGTGGGACGTTTAAGGACCTTTTATAAAACAGGACTTTTCTGTTCCTCCCACTGTGCTCTGCTCTATATTTAAATCTGTACTTTCAGTTCATTTTGTGCTACTACTGCTTTGTTTCTTATGCTGTTCTTACTGTACAACAGCTTCATGGAGACCAAACCAGACCAAGTTACAGGTCAGATCTGTGGAGAGGTGACCTTGCTCACAGTCAGAATGCCTATTTTTATATGTATTTTTGATCTATAAAACCTCCTGTAATTGAATAAATGTAAGGTAGAGCTGTTTAATGTCACTCTGTGGAACATTCCAGGCAGAGCAATGACATCTCCATAGAAACAAGCAGTTACATAGTGCACCTTTAAGTTGGTGATCTTTTTCAACGAGCAGGATCATTGTGACTGGAGTGTGTGTGTCCTCCCTGTTACTGGTTAAAGGAGGTTAGAGGTTCAAATCCTAGTCTCGTTGTCTGGCTTTGACAAATAAGGTATTTCTTAATCTTAAAGCAAATATATTATGGAAAAAAAAACTCTATATCGATTGTGACGGATGGTGAAAGATGCTGAAAGAAAATGATGATGGTGAAAATAATATTACCGTATTTTCCGGGCTATTAGGCGCGCTCTTAATCCTCCAACCCCATTAAAAAAAACGATTGCGCGCCCACATTCCAGAGCGCCCTATACACAAATCCACTCAGGTGTCCCAGCACGACTTCAGTAAACTACAAAGCCGCACCACCCACACCGCACGCAAACACACACGGAGCAGACAGAGACCGCACAACGAAAAACACCCACAGACACACTCATCACTCCACGCTGACGAGGAATGGAACAGAGGAACGAACCAAAGAAGTGAGTGCAGTGTGCCACTCTGAGTCACTGCGAACACGCCGACAATCCGTTGGTCCCAGACAGCACCCTCCCTGCACGCCACAACTGAACAAAGCCCAGAGTCACCGTGAACGCTCCAAACACTGACCCATCTAACTGTTGTGTTTCGTTTAAAGTCCGGTGCGGTTTATAAAAAAGTTCGAAAATAGACCATTTAATGACAGTGCGTCTTATAATCCAGAGCACCTAATAGCCTGGAAATATGGTAGTTTAAGTATAGGGACTAAAAATGTATTTAAAAATGGGGAAGAAAAAAAAAGCCTTTAAAATTATATTTTAACTTTGTAATAAATAACAAAAAAACTTATGAAAGGAAATGATGATGGTGAAAATAATATTAGCTTAACTATAGGGACATTTTTTAATTTTTTTTTTTTTTTTTTTATGGGAGAGGGGGAAAAAAAGAAAAAAGGAGAGGAAAGGAATTTCAGTTATGAATTGGCCGCAGTGTGTCAATGTAAGTGGGCCTAGCGGTGTGTTTATGTTGCACTACCATATTACTTTTGTTTAATTTAGCCGAATTTGTGTTAGTGTGTGTGGTCGGGGGGGTATTTGTTGTGGGTGTTGTGGGTGTTGCTTTATGTTTTTGTCCTTTGTTTTACTCTGATTATTGTAATTGTTATTTTTAAATGTTATATTCTGTTGTCCCTACTACTACTACTAATACTACTACTACTACTACTACTACTACTACTACTACTACTACTACTACTAATACTACTACTACTACTACTACTACTAATACTACTACTACTACTATACTACTACTACTACTACTACTACTACTACTACTACTACTACTACTACTACTACTACTACTAATACTACTACTATACTACTACTACTATACTACTACTACTAATACTACTACTACTACTACTACTACTATACTACTACTACTACTACTAATAATACTAATACTACTACTAATACTACTACTGATACTATTACTACTACTACTAATACTACTACCAATACTAATACTAATACTTCTACTGATACTAATACTACTATTAATACTATCACTACTATTAATACTACTCTACTACTAACACTACTACTGATACTAATACTACTATTAATACTATTACTACTATTAATACTACTACTACTACTAATACTACTACTAATACTACTACTGATACTAATACTACTATTAATACTACTACTACTAATACTACTACTGATACTATTACTACTAATACTATACTACTACTACTACTACTACTACTAATACTACTATACTACTACTACTACTACTACTACTACTACTAAGAATAATAATAATAAGAATAATAAGAATAAGAATAATCCTTTTCATTGACCTTCTCATTCTCGAAGTTGTATTTGGAGTGAGTGACATCTGCTTCCACACTTTTCTAACGTAGAAATCAATACTTTTTAGATGAACATTGTGATTTAAAATGTGCAAATTCTAACCAAATGATCCACACAAGCACTGAGGTATATGCCTTTAAGACTCTAGTGTCCAGTTTAGTCCTGAAGGTGAACCTGGTTTGGTCCTGAAGGTAAACCTGGTTCGGTCTTGTTCTAGTCCAGGATTAGTTTTGAAATGAGTGTGATTTTAGTCTGTTTTTATGTGGTCTGTGTGAGTGTAAACAGACTAAACCAGGTCAGGTCCTGGTCTAGTCCTGGTTCTAGCCTCATGTCCGTAGGCTGCAGCTGCCTCCCTCTTACATAACCCAGACTCTGATTCTATTATTAGCTCCTCTCGCTTTCTCTCTGTTTCTCTCCCTCGTTCTCCCTCTCTTTTTCTCTCCCTGTTTCTCTTCTTTTCTTTCTCTCTCTCTGTTTCTTTTCCTCCTTTTCTCTCTCTGTTTCTCTTCTTCTCTTTCTCTCCCTGTTTCTCTTCCTCCTTTTCTCTCTGTTTCTTCCCCTCTCTCACTTTCTCTTTCACTCTTTCTCTCTCTCTCTCTCTGTCTCTTTCTCCCTCTGTCTCTCTCTCTCTTTCCCTATTTCTCTCTCTCCCTCTCCCTGTTTCTCTCTATCTCTCTCTCTGTTTCTCTTCTTCTCTTTCTCTCTCTCCATTTCTCTCTCTGTCTCTTCCCCTCTCTCCCTCCCTCTCTGTTTTTCTCTCTCTCTCCCTGTTTCTCTCTCTCTCTGTTTCACTCTCTCTCTATCTCTCTCTATTTCTCTCTCTCTCCCTGTTTCTATCTCTCGCTCTGTGTTCCTCTCTATCTCTCTCCCTGTTTCTCTTTCTCTTCCTGTTTCTCTCTCTCTCTCTCCCCTTGTTTCTCTCTTTCTCTCTCTCTGTTTCTCTCTCTCTCTCTCTCTCTATGTTTCTCTCTCCCTGTTTCTCTCTCTCTCTGTTTCTCTCTCTCAATATGGTTAAGGTGAGAGAGATTGATGAAAAGTGGTTCATATTTGGGTCTGGGTTATTAAACATCAGTGAAATCGGAGGGCAAAGTAAAGTCTTGTCTTAAAGAGTAAGTAAGTTGCAATAGAAAAATAATAATAAAATATCTATGAAAAGAGATGACTAGAAATAAAAGGATTAAAACATACAGAGATTCGATTTTTTGGACTATTTTCTGATTTAAAGTTTGCTATATTTAACAGACTTTTATGTTTTTTTAGGACTGCTTTGAGGATGCTTTCGACCGGATCCCAGCGTGAGTACAAACATTTAACATTAAGTATTTAATGTTTTAAGATCTCGTGCCACAAGATATCGCAAGACAAAATCGTCACAAGATCTTGCACACAAGAGAAAAATGATCCCGTGAGATTTTTTTTTCGAAATGTTTACGTTTGGATTGGACAAAAAAGGGTCACATGTTGGTGAGTTACATCTCTTACAGTTCCAAAAAAGCAGCACTAGAATGAAAACAAAACTATGAAATCAAATAAATAACAAAACTGTGAAGCCAAAATTGGAAACTAAATCATGAAATTTCTATATTAGGACCCAATTTCATATCTCTTGTCTCATCTTGTGGCAGTTGTGTCTCGTCCCATCCTTACTATTTACATATATTAATTCTGTGGAACTTCTGACCAAAGTGACAACCCTTTATCAGAAAAGTTGCATAGTAAAGCTTTAAACTGGACTGTTCAGTAATGACCTTGTGCTACAGTCCTTGATGAGGTTTAAGACGTCATCCTTGCATGTTTGAGTCATTTAGCTTATCTCTCCCTTTTTTTTTTTTTTTTCATTAAATGAGACAGGGACAGCACACAATTTCTACATGAACCTTAACAGGAGAGAAACATTGTGCCAGGTTGTAGCACCAGAGCGAATTTCCATCTGTCGTCCCTGGGCAGGTTCATTGATTGTATTTAATTGACCTTGACTATCAAGTGTTCTTCCTGGAGACCTGTAGCATGTTTTGGGTTGATGGGGGAAACCAGATCGCCTGGAGGAAACCCATCCAGACACGGGGAGAAACATGCAAACTCCAAACAGAAAGGCCCGGATGACCCGGGGATTGAACCTTCTTGCTGTGGGGCACGAGTGCTAGCCACTCAGCCACCATGCCACCAATTCACCATAAATATACAAAAACAAAACAATAAAAGGTAACATGGTGATCGAAATATGTTGTGTTTTGTGTGTATTTGTACAGCGCGTGTCAGATGGACCTCCACACGGCCATCCAGGAAACTCAGTGCGCCCTCAACCTGGTCCTCAACAACAAGTTCTCTGAAGCACTAGACCTGCTCAAGCCATGGTGACAAGTCTATTTATGTAGTTAGTAACTTACTTGGTTCTTTGAGTAGTAGTAGTAGTAGTAGTAGTAGTAGTAGTAGTAATAGTAGTAGTAGTTAGTAAGTTAGTTAGTTGTAGTTATTAAGCTAGTTGTAGTTTGTAAATTAGTTGTAGTTAATAACTTTGTGCGTTGTAGTTAGTTAGTTAGTTAATTAGTAGTTGTTGTGGTAGTACCAATAGTTAGTATGTTAGTTTGGTTGTAGAAGTAGTTAGTTAGTTTGTTTGTTTGTTTGTTTGTAGTAGTAGTAGTTGCAGTTGTAGTTAGTAAGTTAGTTAGTTAGTCAGTAAGTTATTAGTAGTAGTTGTGGTTAGTATGTTAGTTAGTTGTAGTTAGTAAGTGAGTTGTAGTTGTAGTAGTAGTTGTAGTTGTTGTAGTTGTAGTCGTAACTGTACTATGAACATCAATTCTCACAGAAAATCCAAATTTTTAAACTTTAGCCTAGATGTGCGTTTTCCATAGTCCGCTCCTGGTCTGAACGTAACATAGAGCTGTATTCGACTAAAGAAGTTCTTGGTTGACTAAAGACGTGTCAGACACAGAAAAAGTGTCATATTTCTGTGTATCTGACCTAAACTGCACTCACAATACTACACCTGCAGGCGGAGCTCATGCAAAAACTACTGTTTATGCAGAAAAGTAATAGAAACAATGTATTTAGTATATAAAGACAAATTAAATGTATGAATCTGGCCTTTTTAAAGACTAATAATACCAGTAAATACAACACAAATTTCAAAATTTTCTTCAGACTTCTTCTTTCTGCTGGTGTCCCGTAGAAATCCTTATATGTAATCTATATAAAATAATCACTTGGATAATACAGATTTTGGGCAACTAAAGAACTACAGCCCTAATGAAGTCTGTGTAATTTGTACATTGATTACATCATCAGCCACTATGAGGAGGGAACATGTGAAAAGTTAGAGATAATAATAAAAATTATTTCTCTTTTATTTGATTGTTCAGGTGGAAGCACAGCATGTACCACGCTCTGGGCTACAGCAGTATCCTGGTGATGCAGGCCACTATGACGTTTGACCAGAGAGACATTCAAGCGGCTATGACCACCATTAAAGAGGCTCTCAACACCTGCCAGAGGTAAAACACCAACACACATGGAAATCCTGCCTGCTTATGTAGGCTGAGCTCTTCTCACCTTGTTCCACCTTGTGATGTCATATGTGTGTATTTGTGGTAATACGGGATGTGCTAGTTAGGATCTGGAGAGAGAAATGGAAATGTATGCAAAGGATGGAGGCTACTTCTTGTAGTTGTAGTTGGCAGTAGTTGGTTGTAGTTTGTAGTAATCAATTGTAGTGGGTAGTAATCAATACTAGCTGTAGTTGGTAGTAGTCGGTAGTAGTATTGATGGTAGTAGTTGATAGTTGGTAGTTGATGAGTAATTTATTGATCTATTTCAATTGATTTTATTGAAAATTCTCTCTCTTGTTAGTAATTGGTAGTAGTAAGATGCAGACTAGTTGCGGGGTCTTGCTTGTTTAGTAGTAATTAGTAGTACTTGTAGTAATTAGTACTGCTAGTAGTAGTCAGATGTACTGTTGTTAGTGTAGTACTGCTTTAGTCCTGTTGAGTCCTAATTTAGTCCTGTTTATCCAGCTTTAGTCCTGGTTTAGGTTTTGTTTATACTTCGTACTTCTTTGCTCTTGCTGTCGACCTGGAGGGTGTTCCATCAAACTTGCTTAACAAGTCCAGGCTTATCCTGAAATCTTGGGCTGAAACTAGCTCCATCTCCAGTTAAAGCCTCAACTCGTTCTATGACAAACATAAGCCTGAGTCTGACCAAAGCCAACTCAGGCTTGAAAGACACGACTTCCACCTCCTCTCCTGTTCGCTCCTTGGACAGAGAGTAGACTGACTGTGTAGTTTACTGTGCCTAAAAGTGCCTAAAGCTGTAATGGTGTAAACAGAACTCACAGTCATCCTCAGAGTCCAAACCAGCATCTGTCTGTGTGTAAAATCTGCACTGCTCCTCACAACAGACACATGTGCAAAATCATTTGAATGAAATCATGGCCATAGGCTTTTATATGGTTTGTGTCTTTGTGATGAGTACAGCGTCCACACACACGTGTCTCATGTGTGTGGATGAGTACAGCGTCCACACACACGTGTCTCATGTGTGTGTGGATGAGTGCAGCGTCCACACACACGTGTTTCATGTGTGTGGATGAGTACAGCATCCACACACACATGTCTCATGTGTGTGTGGATGCTGTACTCATCCACACACACGTCTCATGTGTTGGAGCATATGGACTGTACAAGTCTCAAGCGGTATATAACTGTAAAAGTCACTTTTTCAACTGACAGGTGTTCTCACTCAGGTGTGTGAATGCACGGGCTGAAACTTTTGACTAAACTGTTTTGTTAGACGTTTTGGAGACAAAGCTATAATCTTGACAGTTAGTCTGGTCCTGAGCAGGTTTGTTTCCGGGTGCTTGTTACTGCGGTAACTCAGCCTCACCTTTGGTTAGTCACTGAGGCTTTGATAAGCCTGGATTGCCCAAATAACATAGGTTTTTGCTTTAGCTCGCTTCATGGAATACCCCCCAGGTTTAGTCCTGGTATAATCCTGGTGGAGTCCTGGTTTTGTTCTGGTTTAGTCCTGCTTTAGTCCTGGTTTAAACTTTGTCCTGCTTTACTCTTGCTGTAGACTAGGTTTTGTCCAGAATTAGTCTTTCTTTAGTCTAGGTTTAGTCCAGGTTTAGTTCTAGTTTAACTATTTTAATCCTGCCAATATTGCTTCATAAGTTTCACATTCATTCTCATCATATCTAATTCCCCTTTCTGTTGATTTTGAACTGTAAACAAAATGTTCCCTTTTCAGTTTTTTCCCTTATTTATTTATTTCTTTTTCTTTCAGATTCAGAAAAAGAAATTCAATGGTGGGGTCCCTTTTAAGTAAACAGTCCAATCTGCAGGAAGGTAAGTCCCGCTCCTTTGGTTTGATTGACAGCTTAGTTTTGCATTGAAGTGAATGGGGGCAGTGATAAGATTGTTTTGTGTTTTTCAGAGGAGATGCACGCAGAGCTGTGCTACGCTGAGTGTCTGCTACAGAAAGCAACACTCACATTTGTCCAGGTACAGAGAAAATATATAAATGAATACAGAAATACTAGATACTTTTCAAATAGTACAATTAGTAGGTCAAGTTTAATACTGGTTTAATCCCTGTTTAGCATTTGTATTACAAATGGATCAGTAAGCTCTATGTCCTGCTTTAGTCCTGCTTTAGTCCTGCTTTAGTCCTGCTTTAGTCCTGCTTTAGTCCTGCTTTAGTCCTGGTTAAAACAGTCTGTAGTTGCCTCTTCAGTTTCAGGTTTAGTCTCATCCATAATTCATTTTGTTTTGGGACAAATTTCACCTGATCTCTCCCAGGCTCCAATTCAAATGCTCCAAACTTTAAACCACAAAATCTTTATTCAAAATTGACCAATAATTTATATATTTGTAATTTCATATTTTCCATTCCAGGATGAAAACATGATCAGTTTCATTAAAGGAGGGATCAAGATTCGAACAAGCTACCAGATCTACAAGTGAGTTTGAACCAGGATTTCTCCAACTGCAAAACAACAATTCAGTTATATTTTAATAGTTAGAGTAATATATTAATAAAGTTATATAGTGCACCTTTTAACTGATACTTGCAATTACATTACATTGATACTGCAGTGACATCATACTGGGGGTGTTCCATTGTATGTCTGTGGTGGAATGTTCAGCAGTTACCATGGTGATAGTGCACACACAGTAGCAAACAGCCAAAAATCTTATTTAAGATTATCATAAAACTCAAGTAAAAAATACAAAGTGAATTTAAGCAGCACATTTTCAGGATCCTGTGATCAGTCTGAGCATTCATAACAAAAATGTGAGAGAAAAAAACAAAATTATAGTAATATAATAATAAATGTAAAAAAAAAAAAAAAAAAAAAAAGGAAAGGAAAGGAAAGGAAAGAAAAGAAAAAGAAAATAGTTAAGTATAGTGGCTAAAAGTGTTTATTAAAACTGGGGGGGCAGGGGGGAGTGAAAAAAAAGAAATTAAAAAGAAAGGAAAGTTATTAAAATAAAATAAAAAGTTGGCCAAAATATAAATGTAAGGGGGCCTAGCAGTATGGTTATGCTGCAAGCCCCCCCCACATTACTTTTAATTTAATTTCATTTCATTTCATTTGTGTGTGTGTCGGGGATGTTTTATGTTTTTGTGTTTATAATTATATTTTGTTAATGTTATATCCTAGGGTGACCATATTTCTGGTTGTGAAAACCCGCACACCTTACTGGGGGTGGGGGGTGGGGCCTCGACATTGAGCTACACTCACCTTGCAAACTGTGCACATGGCCTCCTACTTGTCTGTGTTTGCTCGCTCCTTCTGAGTGCACAGAGAGCTACGAGAGACGCTCAATTTAATGGATGAAAGATAATGAAAACCCGGACATTTGGATCACTTTATGAAAAAAAAAAAACACGGACGGCCAGGACAGGACGCAAAAAATGGACATTTGGTCACCCTATTGTATCCTATTGTATTTAATAAACCAAAAAGACGGTTGTAGTTGCAACTCTTTCTGGTCCGACTGTGTTAAAACAAAGATCAGATTAAAGTCTAACAGAGCTTCAGACAAAGCAGTGCCCACAGTTTGCATCACACCCCCAGGGAATGTTGCAAAGGATCAGTATGCTTTATTATACACCATAGAATCAGGTCACTGTGATGTAGGCCTACAATGGAACAACTCCAGATCCGTCAGTCTGCCCCAGGGCAGCTGTGGCAGTAGTAGTAGTAGTTTACCACCACTGAGTGTGGAGTGACTGAATAATGAACTGTAAAGCGCTTTGGGTATCTTGAAAGGCACTATATAAATGCTATCAATCAATCAATCATTTATTTTTATATCAACACTAAGTCTTTTATCCACAGAGATTGTCAGAATATTTCCACCCAAGATGTGAACGGCCAATCAGACGCCTTCAGACAGTTTGACGGTGGGGTCAAACTCGGCGTGGGCTCCTTCAACCTGGTCAGTGCAAGGACTTTTTTATTATTTTTTTTATTTTGTATTAAAGTTTATTATTTTCCTTTTAATATGTGTTTTGTGCATTTATTTAATTTGGTGATTTTTTTTTTGCATTTGATTTCAGATGCTGTCTCTTTTACCTCAAAGGATTCTCCGGTTGCTTGAGTTTATCGGCTTCTCTGGAAACAGGGTCAGTATGAAGAGGTCATCCAGGTTTAGTCGAGTGATAGTCCCATATATGTGTTGGCAAATATACTGGGCTGAAATTTGGGCTTTTTAGCATATCTGCTATCGGTCTTTTTATGATTATTATTAGTTTTTATTCATTTATTATTGACAAATCCCAAGGAGGTCAGGCTTCACATTCAACCAAACACCAAACACCAATATAGATCCATAAGGAAAAAAATTGTAATAGTAATAATAGAAAAAAATAAAAATAATAACAAAAAAACCTAAATCAAAAACTAAAAGGGTATAAGCAACTCAACAAAGGGCTCAAACCATATTAAAATAAGAGAAACAAGAAATAAATAACAATAATGATTACTCTAATTATCAAAATTATTATCAAATATTCAATTTCGTATTGTGCTCAAAGTATTTGTTATTCTCCATGGCAAATAATTTTTCTAGATTGTACTGAATGTGAATTGTGTTTAAAGTATTTTAACCATAAATTTGATATTGCTGAAGCCTTAAAAATAAAAAATCTTTCCTAAGAAAAAAAAGAACATTCAGAAAAGTTGTGAAATTCCGGCCTTCAATTTCCAGCACAGTCTGATCATTTGTTTTGGTCGATCTATTGCCTAAAAACACACACATAGTTTTATTGTAACACACTTTAATAAAAAGAGAAAACTGCAGTAAATGTGACACAAATGGGCTGTGGGTGAATTGTAGTTTTTAATTTTTAATTGTGTAATTTGGGGAAAATAATCCAAATATTTTGTTTTTCAGAGTTTTGGTTTGTCTCAGCTTAGAGAAGGAGCCTCCAACCAGAGTCTGCGCTCCATCCTCTGTGCTCTGACCCTGCTCTTCTACAACACCTACGTCTCCCTCATCCTCGGTACGAATGACAGTACACAATCCACTCCATACTCTCCTTTTACATATCTCCAAAACAACAATATATCTTCCACCCCTTTTTATGCATTTGACTGTGATTTTCATTCGTGTTTTTAGGTACAGGTGAAGGGAACCTGGAGGAGGCCGAGGCACTGCTGGAGCCTTACAGACACAAGTATCCGAAGGTAAAACTTTTTAAACACTAAAATAACTAATACTCAAATTTTACACTAAATGTATTTATTGATTGTTTCTGATACTACAGTGGTAATTTAAAAGCTCTATTTTAGGCAATAGAATGTGATTTTCAATATTAAACAGTAGTACTGTATTTTTCGAACTCTAAGTTGCACTTTTTTTCATGGTTTGGGTGTTTCCTGCGACTTATACTTCAGTGCGACTTATATATTAAAAGTTTCGGCCTGACAGCTGCGAGAGGCTCTAAGCTTGTGTGTCAGTATCTAGTCCTACTATTACTCCTGTTCCACTGTCACTTCGCTCTACTGGGCATGTCTCCTGTAGAATACAATTGCAAATAGTGGAATATTCAGCCGAAAACGGTAATCGAATAACAGAAAGAAAGTTTGGAGTGAGCAAGAAACTTGTGAGGGACTGGCAGAAAGTGGGGATGGAGAACACAGCTTCACGGGAACTGGGTGGATGCACATGTAACTTTCCTGGAAGTCACGGGATGAATCAACAAAGCCTAAACTTCAATGACAACCGAAACCATCCTGTCAGGATTCAGAAAGGCCAGAATAATTCTAACTGGAACTGATGCTGAGTCTGACGACAGCTACACAGAAGAGGAAGCGGCGCTCTGTTTCCATTATGGATTTATGATTTAACTCCAGAGGTTACGCAGAAGTGACACCGAGGATGAAGAATTCAATGGATTAATGATTTGGAATGAGATCGTGAGTTTGGTAAACTTATGTTCTGTTGTTTAAGATATAATTATCTGAAGAACTGTTAATATGTTACATTAACATATTAATACCTATTCAGTCTGTTGTTCTTTGTTCTGTTGTTATTACTAGAACTTGCCTTTGATGAAATGTCATTTCCTGGTCTCTGATTTTACAAAATACATTTCCCCAAAAAGTGCGACTTATACATGTCTTTTTCTTCTTCATTATGCATTTTTTGGCTGGTGCGACTTATAATCCAAGAGCGACTTATAGTCCGGAAAATACAGTACTTTCTTTTCTATTCCCATGTGGTTTTATATTTGTGTAATCCCTGAGTGATCCAGATAGGTTCCATAGTAGTCCGTGGGTGTATACTAGTCTATGTGCTCTTATACTTGTTCTGATACAGCTCCAGATCATTTTAAAGATATTCAGGAAAGGTTTTTTTCTGTCCTGACAATGGGACTTCTGTGAATTATTTTACTACTTTACTTTAACTTTGTGTTCAAACTGGCCATTTAAACTGTCAATTTTGTACATATCTCTTGAATATTCTCATACAATTCATAATAAAAGGTTTTAACTTATTTTACTTGGCGTTTCAATTGAAATCTTTGTCGTCAGTCAGTTCTCTGTGTTATTTATTTTCTTTTTCGCTGCTTGTTTTGAAACCACCGGACCGTGCGTTTCTCTGATTGGTTAATCCGCCTGTCAATCACGCGTATTGGACTTTGTAGGGACAGGATACACATTTTTACTTAGTTCAGTATAGGAAAAGTGCACAGTTTCCTGACAAGGCGAGCAAAACTACGCTCTGCTGCCCTCTTCTGGACATTTGACCCAGTTTTTGAACAGTTTCAGTTCATGTCATAATCCATACAGGTTTACAGTACATTTTCGTCATTTTCCCCAGATGAATAACAATATAATAATGTCATTTTTTTCTGTATTTCAGGGCTCTATAATTCTGTTCTACTCGGCTCGAATCTCCACACTCAGGGGACAGTTTGAAAAGGTAACACCACTTTCTTTCTATAGCTTCCAGTGTGGTTTGTGTAATTTTATTGTATACCTTGCAATATGAAAGACTAGGGATGGGATGAGACACAATTTTCATGTGACGAGACGAGATTGGGTCCACGAGAATGAGACAAGATTTTAACGTAATGCCTAATATAGAAATTCCACATTTCAGTTTCTAATTTTGGCCTCACATTTTATTTATTTGATTTCATAGTTTTGTTTCCATTCTAGTGCTGCTTTTCAGAACTGTAAGAGATGTAAATCACCAACATGTGACGCTTTTTTGTCCAATCCAAATGTGGAAATGTTGGAAAAAAGTCACACAAGATAATTTTTCTCTTGTGTGCATGAACTTGTGGCGATTTTGTCTATTGTGGTACGAGATCTTGTACTGTCCCTATGAAAGACCAAATTAATAATATTACATTTTACTCATTTATGCTAACAAATTATATGGAGGAGTAGTTTTGTTTACATCAGGATTAAACCCGGACTTAACTAGTAGCCCTTCCAAATAGTAGAATATTTTCTTTTGTTTGCTGGTTTAGTTAGTCCTGGTTTAGACCTGGTTTTATTCTGAGTCAGTACAAGTTTAGTCCTGGTTTGGTTCTGGTTTAGTCATGGTTTAATTACAGGTTAGCCCTGGTTTAGACCCGGTTGGATCTAAAATAGCAGTTGTTGGTATGTGATAATTCTACACCTCCAGTCCAAAGTTTGGACACACCTGCTCATTTAATGTTTTTTTTATATGTTTTCTAGTTTTGACATTTTATACACACAGAAGAAGAATATATGAAGTAATATGTATGGAATTATGTAGTAAAAGGGTGAAAAAAAGAGTTACTTAAAGGTGCATTGTGTAACTTTTCTGGTGGAGTGTCCATCAAATGTGTTTCTCCATGGAGATGTTATTGCTTTGTCTGGAATGTTTCACAGTATGGCTTTAAACCTTTCTATTTTCATGGAGACCAAACCAAGTTACAGGTCAGATCTGTGGAGAGGCATCTCCGCTCACAGTCAGAATGCCTGTTTTTCTAGGTATTTTTCAGCTATAAAACCGGGATTAAACCAGGGCTAAACCAGGACTGAACAAGAACTACATCAGGGCTAAATCATGACTGAACCTAGACTGAACCAGGACTAAATCAGGACTAAATCATGACTGAACTTAGACTCAATCAGGGCTAAACCATGACTGAACCAGGACTAAACCAGGGCTAAACCAGGACTGAACAAGAACTACATCAGGGCTAAATCATGACTGAACCTAGACTGAACCAGGACTAAATCAGGACTAAATCATGACTGAACCTAGACTGAACCAGGACTAAATCAGGACTAAATCATGACTGAACTTAGACTCAATCAGGGCTAAACCATGACTGAACCAGGACTAAACCAGGGATAAACCAGGACTGAACCAGGGCTAAACCAGGACTGAAACAGGACTGAACCAGGACTGAACCAGGGCTAAACCAGGACTGAACCAGGACTAAACCAGGACTAAACCAGGACTAAAACAAGTCTTTTTTCAATCTCTTTTTTTCACCGTGGACCTGTCAAATTGTTCAGCGTTTTTCCTTTACTAAATAATTCCATGTTCAGTATCTTACCTCATATATTTGATGTGTTCTGTATATAGATATAAAATGTAGAAAGCAGTAAACATATGAGAGACCGTGCGCCCAAACGTTTGACTGCAAATGTATAATCTTGCAAGAATTCCATATTTCTACAGTGATGATTGTGGCTGTGCTGTGGTCCTAGGCTGTGTCTCGGTTTGAAGAGTGCATCCGCAGTCAGAGTGAGTGGAGACAGATTCATCACTTGTGTTACTGGGAGCTCATGTGGACTCACTCATTTCAGCAGCACTGGGTCGAGGCCTATCACTACGCCCAGCTCCTGTGCGCAGAGAGCCGCTGGTCCAAGGTACAGCCACGCCATGCGCCATTTTGAAGACTTTTGCCATTTCAATCATTCGTTTGGAAATATTCATTGTTATGGCAACGGCCCTAATTTGTACATAGAGATGCTGGTCCAAGACATAACCACACCAGGCACCATTTTGAGGACTTTTGCTATTCTAAAGATTTAAATATTTAGTTTTGAATTGTTAATTATTATGGCAACCGTCCAAATTTGTACAGAGAGATGTTGGTCCAAGGTACAGCTGCACCAAGTGCCATTTTAAAGACATTTGCTATTGAAAAGATTTAAATATTTTGTTTTTTAATTGTCAATTGTTATGGCGAAAGTCCAAATTTATACATAGAGTCACTGGTCCAAACTACTACACCTACACCAAGCGCCATTTTGAGGACTTTTGCCTTTCAATTGATTAAAATATTTAGATTTTTATTGTCAATTGTTAAGAAAACAGTCCAACTTTGTACATAAAGCCACTGGTCCAAGATACTACACCTACACCAGGCACCATTTTGAGGACTTTTGCCTTTCAGTTGATTCAGATATTTAGTTTTTAATTGTTAATTGTTATGGAAACAGTCCAAATTTGTACAGAGAGATGCTGGTCCAAGGTACAACTGCACCAGGCGCCATTTTGAGGACTTTTCTTCATTCAAAAGATTTTTATATTTAGTTTTTAATTGTTAACTGTTATGGAAAAGTCCAAATTTGTACATAGAGATACTGGTCCAAGGTACAGCTACACCAGGCACCATTTTGAGAACTTTGGGTCATTCAAGTCATTCAAGAGTCCTCAAAATATTTAGTTTTGAATTGATAATCGTTATGGCAGCAACACACAAACCCTGCATATTTAGGCTGAATTCTCCTCTCAAACAGTAAACACTCTGTTCCACCTTGTGATGTCATGTGGTAATACATGAAGTGCTCCACTGTGTTTTTAAACTCCATACACCTTCTGTAGAATTGTTGGGATAATTTCAACCCTGGAATTGCCAGTCTGTACTGAACAAAAGGTAAAAGGAGCTGTTCACTTGAAAATTACCGCTTCATGACATCACAAGGTGGAACAGAGCATTTTGAGCTTTGGAGATTAGACAGTTCTGGTTTACTTATTGTGTTTTTTCTTGTTTTCAGGCGATCTATGTTTACCAAAAGGCAGCGATCCTCAGCATGATGTCTGAAGAGGAGGTGAAGAAAACTGGAGAAAACATTGTGGAACTTTTCAGGTTAGAATAATCAAAATATATACATTTACTATGCATCAATATTTTTTTATTCACTTACTTTTCACTTAAAGGTGCACTATGTAACAGCTTTATATTACAATTTATTCAATAGATGTATCAAGAATCTCAAACTTCCGGTCATTGCACAATTCATACTGGGAAGGATTTTCCGAAAAACTGAGCATCAAACCTCCATGTTTGTTTTCCCAGTGGGATGTGTCTATTGACAAAGTCAGTCTTTTCTAGTCTTTTGAACCATATCACTTTTGTTTCTGGTTCTGATATTGTCATATTTTAGTTTTGGGATTCAGACATTGTAATTGTGTGGTTGTTGGATCCTAACAGCGGAAATTTGTTTGTGAGCTCCATAAATGCAAAAGGGAATCAGATGTGTGTGACTGCAAACGTCCGTTCAATCTGTTTCTCTTCCTAAAGGAATTGAAAAATAGTGAAAGGTGAAGACGATGGGCAGGATTGATCCACAGGAAGGATGAAAAAGGAAACCTTTGACTGTCTAAATCATTTCAAGTTTACAGTGAACATTTTGTATGTGAAGCACCATCAAAGCAGATCCCGTTTGTTAAGTGAGAGGAGCAGAAGACAAACAGACTGAGCTGCACTTTCTTGTTCTTGTGGTTTTACAGCAACATCACGTCTTGGTCTCTTTGCAGTGGAAGGTGTTTCTTGCTGAACAGCTGGTGCCTTTCACTTTGGCATTGACTTTTTAAATTCGTAACCAAAGTGGAGCGAGGGATTGGGATTTTGCTTTGTTGGCGCTCCACATACAAAAAGTTTACTGCAAACTCGGGATGATTTAGGTAGTGAAAGGTTTCCTTTTTGGTCTTTCCTGTGGATCAATCCTGCCCATCACCTTCACCTTTCACTATTTTTCAATTCCTTTAGGAAGAGAAACAGTTTGAACAGAGGTTTGCAGTCACACACATCTGATTCCCTTTTGCATTTATGGAGATCACAAACACATTTCTTGAGCCATTTTCCACTGTCCAACAACCACACAATTACAATGTCTGAATCCCAAAACTAAAATATGACAATATCAGAACCAGAAACAAAAGTGATATGGTTCAAAAGACTAGAAAAGACTGACTTTGTCAATAGACACATCCCACTGGGAAAACAAACATTTGATGCTCACAATGACCGGAATGCATGTATACTGGGAGACATTCCACACAAGCAATAACATCTCCATGGAGATTTGACAGACCCTCCACTAGAAAAGTTACACAATGCACCTTTAAGCATTTTTTTTTAATACTAACACCTTTTCACTAGATTAGGTCATTTAAAATCTTGTGTTTTTGTGTGTTTTTGTGTAGGCAGGTGGAGGGTCTGAAGCAGAGGTTGGCCGGTAAATCCATCCCTACAGAGAAGTTTGCTGTGAGGAAGTCCAGACGATACAAAGCCCAATCTCCAGTGCCTCTGGTCCTGCCCGCTCTGGTAATGTCTACAGTGCTGTGAAGTATTTGAGCCCCTTACTGATTTCTTACTTTTTTGCACCTTTGTCACTTTTAGCCTTTTCAGATCAAGTAAACTTAATCTAAAAAAATCTTTGTCTAATATTTATTTATGAAGGGAAAAATAGCGGTAATAGAACCTACATGGCCCATGTGAAAAAGTTATTTCTACCTAAACTTAAATATGAATAAATGTAAATATGACCCAGGACTAAACTAGGCCTAAACCAGGCCTAAACTAGGCCTAAACCAGGGACTTAGCCAGGGTCTAAACAAGGTCTAAAGAGGACAAAAGTGCATCTGTACTAAAAAAGTGAGAGCCAACTAGGTCTAAATCAGGACTAAAAGAGCTTACCAGAACTAAACCAGAATCAAACTGGAAAAGCACTCAGAGAGCGCAGACTCCGCCAAGGACTACAGTCCCCCTCATATTAATTGTGTTTTCCATAAATATTTGTCTCGTATCTTTCAATTTGGAATATGAAAGAGGATCCCATTGTCCATCCCTGAGTCAAATTTCATGGGGTTTGGTCAATAATTAACCGAGATATTGAGAAACACAATTTTTGGCCCCATTTACCACAATGTTAACTAAAATTTCAAAGTGATCCAGAATCCAGGATTTCTTCCGGATCACCCCCAAAATGAAATCAGTTCTTCCTTTTCACATTTCCAACAAATCCTGAAAATTTCATCAAAATCGGTCCATAACTTTTTGAGTTATGTTGCTAACAGACAAACAAACAAACAAACAAACAGACAAACGGCGGCAAAAACATAACCTCCTTGGCGGAGGTAATGAGGACTACATCAGAACCAAATCCAGTCTAAATCCAGAATCCTATGTTTTCCACACACGAAAGACAAAAACTCAGACTAAATCTCTTTTCGTTGGTTTAGGAGATGATGTATGTGTGGAACGGCTTCACGATCGTGGGGAAGAGGCCAGACTTCACCGAGGCTCTGCTGGTCACCATAGAGAAGGCAGAGGAGCAGCTCAGGGAGGACCCCAGTAAGTCCAGACCAAAACCAGGACCATAACAGGACTAAACCAGGACTGAACCAAAACTAAGCCAGGGCTAATACCAGGACTATGACAGGACTACGGCAGGACTGAACTAGGACTGAACTAGGACTGAACCAGGACTACGACAGGACTACGACAGGACTACGACAGGACTGAATTAGGACTGAACCAGGACTACGACAGGACTATGACAGGACTATGACAGGACTACGACAGGACTAAAACAGGACTAAACCAAACCAGGACTAAAACAGGACTAAACTCATGACTGAACCATGACTGAACCAAAACCATGACTGTAACAGAACTAAACTAGGATTGAACCAGGACTAAAAGCAGGACTGAGCCATGACTAAACCAGGAATCGACAAGGGGAATAACTAGATTAAACCAGGATTAAAACCAGAAATAAACCCATTTTTTAAAGCAGGACTGGACCAGGGTCTGGACCAAAGGGACTGGACCAAGGACTGGACCAAGGACTGGACCAAGGACTGGACCAAGGACTGGACCAAGGACTGGACCAAGGACTAAATAAGTTTTAAAGCTAAGACTAAATCCAGCCTAATCAAGACTAATCAAAGCCTATAAACAAAACTACACCAGGACTAAACTAGATCTGAACCAGGTCTAAAGCAGGTCTTTATCCTGTCTCCTTTTCTCCATAGACCCCTCAGAGTACCATCCTGACGACAGCTGTCTGGTGCAGATGCTGAAGGGTTTGTGTCTGAAACATCTGGGCCGTCTGCTGCAGGCTGAGCTCTGCTTCACTCAGGTGCTCTCCAGGTAAACATACATCTACACACATCTCTTCTCAATGGAACTGTGGGTCTGCAAAACGCACCTGACCACCAGAGGGCACTGTTCAGCAACTCCTGTGCGGGCAACAGTGGCTCAGTGGTACGAGCATTTCCCCACAAACCCAAAGATCATGGTTCTATAACCTATTTTACGAACATGCTAATGCAAACTTTTATTCAAACATAAAATCAAAGAAAACAGCTACGTGTTTATGTGAAGAGATTGCTTTTAAATGAGGGCTGCTCAATTATGGAAAAAATCATTGTAACGATTATTTAAGTCAATATTGAAATCACAGTTGTTCAAACGATTATGTTTTAGTTACACGATGCATTTATTCACTATTTAAAAAAAAAAAAAAAAGAAACACTTTGTTATTCATAATTTATGCAGAACTTTCAAATTGAAAATAAATACAGGCAACAAATATGAACCTTAGAGCAGTTTTGCAATGTATAAAACATAAAATGAATAAAATATACTTAAATGTATCCAAAATAAACTATATATCCAGCTGTTATACAATCTCTATCTCTTTAAAACCTAAAATAAATATACTTATTTAAATAAAAAATATCCCAAAATAAACTTTGTTAAGCTTTAATCATTTCAACTTGATTATATGAGTTTGGAGATTGTTTCATACACAAATTGAAATTCAACTCAACAGCCTTATTTTAAGTATTTATTAGGTTCAGAAATTGGCATCAGCGTCGACTCACAAAGACGTACCTTTTCTAAGCTCTGGTGTCGTGTCCAAATGTCCACACTTAGACCAACGTTTAGGGGTTACGCCATTCTTAGAAATGTCTGAATGTCCAGTGAGTGAAAAAGCAGTGCACTCAAAGTTTTCCACAATGCACCTTGAAAATTCCTTGGAGGAGTTGGAAAGAGACCAGAGAACAGAACTGGACACAACACAGAATGAAGAAGATAGAAGCGCTGGTTTCTAAGACTGTTGATCCTGACTCTGAATAAATACTTCCTTACTTATTTAATAAATACTTACTACATACTTAATAAATAGCATTTGCTGATTATGAGGAAAGAGTCCATTACCATCGCCCCCTGTTGGTCGTCAGTGATAAACATTCCTAACCCCGTGACCCGTGTGTTTCAGTGAGCGTCGGATCAGGTACGATCACTACCTGGTGCCCTTCACTCTGTACGAGCTGGGACTCCTGTACAAACAGCAGGGAGACTTCTCCAAAGCCGTCTCCTACATCGAGAACGCCAAGTCAGTACAATTCATGTTCTACAATACAATCAGTAAAGAGTTTTCCATGAGTATTTACACTATAGACTCTAACTGAAGACTATGAATGACACATGTGGTATGTAGTAAACAAAAAAGTGTGAAAGATAGTTTTAAAATAGATTTGCACGTAAGCTATGGTGTCAAAACATACTCAAAAAACTGTAAAATGCTTAATATACACTACCAATTAAATATTACTAAATATTTTTTATCTTCTGTATATAAAATCATCACAGTCTCCACCCTTTGCTTTGCTTTGTCAGTCAATCAATCAACAACTTTATTAATCTCAAAGGGCAATTCAGTTCGCACATCTATGGCCATGCAAAGTATATAATTAATAAATAATTTGTGGACAGTTCTGTAAATCCTTGACCTTCTCTCAGTGAGCTTCATGATAAAGTCTCCTGAAATGGTTTTCACTTCACAGCTGTGCTTCAGAGTTATGAGAAATGTACAAATCATGGACAGGGTTCAAAGCAAAGGGTGGATAGCTTTCAAAATCTAAAACCAGTTTGGAGCTATTTTGAAAACATAAAGGCTGTGTATTTTTCATCAGTGGCACATTTGGGGGCCCTAGGTGAACTTGAGTTGGGGGCCCTCACTATAATGCACTGTTTTTGTTTTTTTGTTTTGTATATTTTTATTATTTATGTAGAATCCCGGTTGAAATGATGGTCTTATATACTGATGGTTCACAACTTTTATTTTTGGGTCTTGTTTGTGAACACACCGTAAGAACTACCAAAAAAAAAAAATGAAATAAAAAAAACTATTAGCTCTTACAGTGTACCTTTTACTCCTTTTAACCTTTCAATCATTTAACCATTCAACCATTTAACCATTTGTGACAATCTCTAATCTGACAATCTGATCAACAATTACTGTTTACCAACAATAAAGCTCATAAAGCCTGACTTTTGGTATTAATCTATGTTGAACAAGAAATTACACATTAAAAATAATTTGTCAAACTGCGTATAACATTGCTGAAGCAAAGTGCACTGGCGCCATCTAGTGGACAAAAATTATAACGCATTGGCACAAAACTAGCGGCTCAACGTACAAAAAACAAAACATTTCCAAAACAAAGTCATTCCAATATGATTCCTTATTGCCCTTGTCCCCTCGTCAACCAGGTGCTAAGCCGGGATGGACCATATATTAACTTAATACATTTTCAGTTACTCTTAGATGAAACCAAACAAAACTTTCTGTTGTGCTAATTGTCAGTTAGCCGCACAGACTGTTAGCCGGGAGGTAAACATCCTCTTTCTCGTGGCCGCTTCCTGTTGTACAACTGCCTTTCAAAATAAAAGCATGAACTATATTTTTGGAACAAACGTATTACAATACTTAAAACAAAAGTAGCAGAAGAGCAGAAAATACATGAGATCATTTACAATTTATTGTCTGTTTTTCCTCATTGTTCTTGAGACATGGACATCTGTATTTGAATTAGGGTGGATTGGAAACTTGTTTTATTAGTTACATTACACTACATTACACTAGATAAACAGAGCTGTAAGCTGTTTTATTTTTATACTAGTACAATTATATTTTTGTTTACATTCATTACATATGATTCTTTTCAAATCAGGGTCAAGCTGACTAGTCCATTCTAACGTGAAAGGGGGAATATTTTGACAGTTAAAATAGATTTGACAGTCAGATCCTACTTTGATGGTGTTTTCTTGTTAAAAATGAAACCACTGTAGTGCCTTTAACATACATGTTTACATACATAGTTCACCGCTAACTGGAGACACATTAGTTACATGATTACCTATGTTCAGTGTTCAGTTTTTAGGTTTATGCTCTCTATACAGTACAATCACGGTCCCTTTTAGACCCGATGATGATGTTTGAGGTACGCTGTTCTGTTTACCGTTATTAGCCGTTTCACTGGAGTTGTGAGTAGAGTTAATAAAGCGACACGTGAAAATGTGAGAAGTTGTCGGCTCCTTTTTTATCACGCACAACTTCCACACTACTCTGATTTAATGTCATGTTGAGAGAAAATCAAACTTGGTCATTAAAGGCACTGAGGGCAATTGGTGAGGGGCCCCTCCAGGTTTGGGGGCCCTGGGCAGCCATCTACTGTTGCCTAATGGTAGCACCACCTCTGTTTTTGATGCTATACTGTGGAACATTCCAGGTAAAACAATCAAATCTGCGCAACCACCATCAGAAAAGTTACACAGTGCCTCTTTAACAGTACTTAAAGGTGCACTGTGTAACCTTTCTTTTAGAGGTTTTGCCATCTGCTTGTTTCCATGGAGATATCATTGCATAGCCTGGAATGTTGCACAGTATGATGTTAAACATATCTACCTAGAATTTAATTTACTGCTCAAAAAAACCTTTAAAAAGCACACATTCTTGCTGCGAATGGGGTCACCTCTCCACAGATCTGACCTGTAACTTGGTCTGGCGACACTACTTTGAGTCCATAGAGGGAGATAAGTTTAGTGCCATACTGTGGAATATTTCAGGCAAAGCATTTCCATGGTAACGAGCATCTACTTCACCACTGTACTGACTGCGTTCACACTTGTTGGTTTAGTCCTGGTCCAGTCCTGGTTTAGTTCTAATTTTATCTTTTGTTTACTCCATTCCACACGTGTCATTCATAGTTTTGATGTAACAGTGAGAATTTACAGTGTAAATAATCATGGAAATAAAGAAGAAACATGAATAAAGTTGTTGGAACTTCTGCGCACTTCAGGCACACATCACTCTTAGAAGGTAGAAAGCTCTGGAAAGTTGATTTTGCATGAGATGGGCCCTTTAAAGGGGGCCCCATGTCAGTCTTCTTGCTCCGGGCCCCCACATTTCCGGTGACAGTATATACGTCATTACTTACTATCCTTTCTTCTGTTATTTTTCCATCAGGACAAATTACAAGGATTATTCCATGGAGTCAAGGCTTCACTTCCGGATCCACGCCGCCCTCAACAGCCTCAAGGGGTCGCCAGTCAGCACTCCCTAACAAGTCTACTCCTAAATATGAAATATATGTAATCTATACATATATATATACACGTACGGCTCTTATGAAAATACTGAAAATATAATATACAGGTTATGTCCACAATAATAACTACTACAATATGTTTAGGGCTGGAATCACAGGGTCCCTCAAGATCACGATTTTGTTTATTTTATTTCACAATATTCTGTGAGATCACTATTTTTAAGAACACACAGGGAAAACATGTCATCTCCAGACTGTTTTAAGTACCACTAGGGGGCGGCGTACATTTTAGATAGTTTTAGATTTAAAACCAGATCAACTTTGAATAATTCTTTCTTTAAAAATATTTTCATGCATTTTGTCTAATCTTGTGTTCACACTTGTACTGGTCTAATACTGGTCTAGTCCTGGGTCTAGTCCTGGGTCTAGTCCTGGATCTAGTCCTGGGTCTAGTTCTGGGTCTAGTCTGGGTCTAGTGCTGGTCTAGTCCTGGTCTAGTCCAGGGTCTAGTCCTGGATCTAGTCCTGGGTCTAGTTCTGGGTCTAGTCTGGGTCTAGTGCTGGTTTAGTCCAGGGTCTAGTCCTGAATCTAGTCCTGGGTCTATTCCTGGGTCTAGTCCTGGGTCTATTCCTGGGTCTAGTCCTGGGTCTAGTCCTGGTCTAGTCCTGGGTCTAGTCCTGATCTAGTCTGTGTCTAGTCCTGATCTAGTCTGTGTCTAGTCCTGATCTAGTCTGTGTCTAGTCCTGATCTAGTCTGTGTCTAGTCCTGATCTAGTCTGTGTCTAGTCCTGGTCTAGTCTGTGTCTAGTCCTGATCTAGTCTGTGTCTAGTCCTGATCTAGTCTGTGTCTAGTCCTGATCTAGTCTGTGTCTAGTCCTGATCTAGTCTGTGTCTAGTCCTGATCTAGTCTGTGTCTAGTCCTGATCTAGTCTGTGTCTAGTCCTGATCTAGTCTGTGTCTAGTCCTGATCTAGTCTGTGTCTAGTCCTGATCTAGTCTGTGTTTAGTCCTGATCTAGTCTGTGTCTAGTCCTGATCTAGTCTGTGTCTAGTCCTGATCTAGTCTTGTGTTTAGTCCTGGTCTAGACCTGGATTAGTTCCCCACTTAGTCCTAGTTTTTATGTAGTTTGTGTGAACGCAACATATGCCAACTCAAGTCGCTGCAAGGGTCAAAAATATCGAAAATCAGATCTTAAACGATACTAAAACTAGTATCCAAAGTAGATCCTCATTTTTCGCAGATATTGATACTAAACAAGTCCCATTGCCAGGAGAGAAATGAAGCTCTCCTGAATGTCTTTAGAACGATCTGGAGCTGCATCAGAACAAGTATAAGAGCACATGGAAAATGAGAGGGTTTTTTTAATCGTCATGGTATCAGAATCGGTATTGAGTATCGAGTCTGTTCCTTAGTATCGAAATGTCAGTATCGTGACCGCACTAGCCCCTCGTCGTAGCATATTATTGTGGACCAAACCAAGACTTAATCACAAAACAACCTCATGAAAACAGTTGAGGATTCACCGGATGACTCTAACTGAACTTTATTTTCTGAAGTAATTTAACAACATTTATGGCTCTTATTTTTATCCTATTTATTATTTGTGTTCATGTTATTTTTAGCTTTAGCCCTTGGGCCTCCATTATAACATTAAGCCAACCTATCCTGACAGTTACAGATGAAGGCAGAGATAGTAAAATAATTTATTATTATTAGTATTATTGACCAAAATTTCTAAATATTATAAATAAACACTATTTTTGAGGTATAATATTTCTTAAAAGCACAGAAAAACTGCTAACAGTTAATGGATAATTTTCTTACTTGAAGCATTTTTTGTTTTTTTTGTTTTTTCAACACTTTTTTTTTTTTTTTTTTAATTCACATCTCGTTCGCCAGTAAATTCGTAACTTGTGCGCAATATTAAAGGCGCAATGTGTAACCTTTCCGCAAATCAGCTGCTTGTCGCCGTGGAGATACCATTACTTTGCCTAGAACATCCCACAGTATATTAAACTCAAGCAAACTGGTTGAGAAGATCGGAGTTACAAGTCAGATCTATGCAAAGGCAAGCCCAAGCACAGTAAGAAAACGAAACGAAACATAAAAGCGATATACGTTTAATGCCATACTGTGGAACATTCCAGGCAAAGCAATCAAATCTGCGCAACCTCCATCAGAAAAGTTACACAGTGCATCTTTAACAGTACTTAAAGGTGCACTGTGTAACCTTTCTTTTAGAGGTTTTGCCATCTGCTTGTTTCCATGGAGATGTCGTTGCATAGCCTGGAATGTTCCACAGTATGGCCTCTGCACGGATCTGACCTGTAACTTGGTGTGGCGGCGCTACTTTGTGTGGATAAGTGGAGATGGATAAGTTTAGTGCCATACTGTGGAATATTTCAAGCAAAGTATTGTCATGGCAACAAGCGTCTCCTTTACCGCTGTACTGACTTAGACTGCGTTCACACCTGTTCGTCTAGTCCTGGTCTAGTCCTGGTCTAGTCCCGGTCTAGTCCCGGTCTAGTCCCGGTCTAGTCCCGGTCTAGTCCTGGTTTAGTCCTGGTTTAGTCCTGGTCTAGTCCTGATCTAGCCCTGGTTTAGCTCTGGTTTAGTCCTGGTCTAGTCCTGGTTCAGCCCTGGTCTAGTTCTGGCCTAGTTCTGGTTAGTCCTAGTTTAATCCTGGACTAGCCGCGGTTTTAACATGTGTGAACGCAGTTTAAATCCATTTCCATTCAAAGCATCATGTTCTAAACAACATAAATGCACAGACACTTGGACCTTTAATAGATTCTAGTTGTTTTCCTGTAAATAGCTGAACACAATGACTGTTGCAACCAATAAATAGATAAGATTAGTATAGAAAAGCAGGGAGTGCGTAGAGTTCACATATATAGATTTCCTTTTGGTTGCCTTGTTCCTTAATAATGCATAATAACATTTCAGCAGCAATACAAAAACACTTAGGCCTTTAGCTGTTTACCCGCGTCCGTGATTGATTGTGTATTTTTATTTTTGCCGTCTTCTGACCTCACAAAAAGCCTTTATTTTTGTTTCATGAAGCAGTTATTTAAACGTAGGAAAAACCCGATCCTCTCCTCCGCTCCTCTACTTCATGAACCAGTGGTGGAAGTAAAAGTGACGAAGTAAAAGTAGTCAAATACTGTGCTTGAAGGTGTATTGTGTAACTTTTCTGGTGAGGTTTCCGTCACTTTCACTAAAACCAGCTCTGCTTTACGTTTATTCAAGTACATGTGGTTTTACAGCTCAGAAATACCAAGAAAAACAGGTATTCTGACTGTGAGCGGGGTCACCTCTCCACAGATCTGACCTGTAACTTGGTTCGGTTTGGTCTCAGTGAACATAGGAAGGTTTAATGCCATACTGTGGAACATTCCAGACAAAGCGATAACATCAACAAAAGCATTTGACGGAGCCTCCACCAGAAAAGTTACACGATGCACCTAGGTCAGTCCGTATGAAATCAGACGTTTTCAAGGAATCTTCCCTATGAGCCATCTCAGATTTGGTTGAAAAAAAAATCAAAAAATTTCTAAAATCACCAAATGAAAGAATCTCAAATTTAAGCTCAATCCCTTGAGTCGTTCCTGAGTTATGGCCCATTGAAATTTTGGGGCCATGCTCACTTTTTCTGAAACCTTATTTTATAAGAATGTATGAGAGACCAGAACTTCATCAAAAATAGAGCTCAGAAGCTGAAAATGTGTATTATTGTAGATTCTTGGTCATAGATTCTGAATCTGTTGTCCAGTCTTGGGTATCTTGATTACGGGGAGCACTATGGACCCCCAAAATCTCACATTGGTTGCCACTAAATTTTTGAGGTCCAAGATCTTTTTACTCCAAGCAGATATTTACAAACTAACTGTTGAACCTGAATATTTGAGAGAATGACCATTTCTGACAACAATCTCACACTTTTCTGAGCTTTCATGTGGATGGTGTAGAGTCCCAAATCTGGTCACAGATCAAATGTGATCTTTTTGGCCCCTTCTGTGGACCCTTGGTTTCCCATGTGGGCACAGTTAGATGTTGATCAAATTTTTACCAGAGAAACTTTGGCATATTCTGATTAGTTTAAAATAATAAAAACATCTACTATTAACTTCCTTCATTTCAAACAGAATTTTTGAAAATGAGCTCTCATGAGTTGTTTTTGGTGGAACTTAGGAACTTTTCCACCTGCAGAAAGGTTCAATTACCTTTAATAGACTTAAACACTATTTGCTTGTTATAAGGGAAGACAGTTGGAGATTATTTGTGGTGCATTGTTTGTGATGGTTTTGGTGGCACAGTAAAACACTCAGCTGCAAGGGACAAGTCTTCAGACAACTGACAGCAATCAAATATTGACCACACTCCAGATGTTTGAGTGGGTTTCACAAAACATAAAGAATGTAAAGTTTTTCTTCACAAACTAGAAAGACATTACAAACCACAAACTTACTTCCAAACTAGACGAGCGCTAAAGCAAGGCCCGGCGCCCCCCTTCATAAACTCAAGAGACTGACCTAAAATCTGAGATTCTTTCATTTGATGACTTTAGAAATTTTTAGAAATTTTTTTTCAGCCAAATCTGAGATGGCTCATAGGGGAGGGCGGCTGATTTCATATGGACTGACCCACCTTTTAAGTAAAAATTGTAGGTATCTGCACTTTATCTGCTGTAAAATGAACTTAAGTATTTTTTTACTTTTACTTCACTACGTGTGAGAGCAGGTATCTTCACTTTCTGCTCCACTACATTTTCGTACAGGACTGCAAAGGAAAAGTATTTTTTATTATAGTTCGAGACATGCGGAAAAGTCTGAGGGTTTATGTTTAAGTCGAAACAGAAATAAACAAATAAAATCTGCAAAAGTCTGTACAGATTACTACATTTGAAGCTTTATTAGACCTCAAAATACTTTTACTCTTTACTCTTTAAGTACATTTTTAAACAGATACTTTAATACTTTTACTTGAGTGGATTTTTTCTTGTGATACTTTTACTTTTATAGTATTTTTTTGCTCCATTACTTAAGAAAATGGAGTACTCCTTCCACCACTGGCTCCTCTGCTCCTCTTCATCCAGACGCTGTCTCTTTGGTCTTCCTCTAGGCCTTCCTCCCTTATATTCACTCTTCCTTCCTCCAGTTTACATTTAGCTTTATTTACTAATAACTTTTAGCTTTTCAAATCAGTGATGGACTCGTGAACAGTCAAAAAATGAAAAAAAAAAACGCGACTTGGAAGCAACAAAAAAGACAAAAAGACAATCACCAAAATGTGCTTTTAAATATGAAACAATACTGCCCGCGTTTTAGTCAAGAAATAAACGAGAAATAAACAGAGCTACCTATTTTAGGCCTATATTACGCTGTTTTCTGATATGTTCTAATGTTGTTTCCTCATCACAAACAGACCTGGAGTTGTGTTTTGTAGGAATAGGAAAATAGGAAGTGAGCATGGTCGAGACTCTGGATTCAGTTCAGTTTGTATTGAAAAAATCTTGCCTCTTTTTCTATAATTGCTGGTGTCAGACTCGTCATTTTGGTCTTAAAATGTTCATATTAACCTGCTCTACATGATTCAGCCTCAATGAGCTTCATTTGACTGGAGCTGGACACTGTGGGTGACAAATCCCTGTATGATTTGTTCATTCGTTTTTTAATATAAAACCAAAAATAAGAAAATGAAAAAACAACTATTTTCTTCATTATTTGTCTCCAAAACCAAAATGAAAAAATGGATAATGATTCGTTTTTTCAGTTTTCCATTTTGTGTTTAAATGAAAAATGGAAAAAAACGATAACGGCCGTTTCCCGTTTCCGTGACTTAAACTGCGATGCCGAACTTTTGTGCCGCGTACGGACTGAACCAGGACTGAATCAGGACTAAACTAGGACTAATAATAATAATAATAATAATAATAATGCATCAGTTTTATATAGCACTTTTTTGGACACTCAGACGCTTCACAGAGCATTATTCATTCACTCCAGACCCGGACTAAACCGTTTTCAGTTCTGGTCTGGTCTCAGTCCTGGTCTCAGTCCTGGTCTCAGTCCCGGTCTCAGTCCTGGTCTCAGTCCTGGTCTCAGTCCCGGTCTCAGTCCCGGTCTCAGTCCCGGTCTCAGTCCCGGTCTCAGTCCCGGTCTCAGTCCTGGTCTCATTCCTGGACCTGGTTTAGTCCTGGTTCAGTCCTGGTTCAGTCCGTATGCGGCACAAAAGTTTGGCATCGCAGTTTAAGTCACGCAAACAGGAAACGGTTGTTATTCTTTTCTTTTTTTTTCTTTTTTTTTTTCATTTAAACACAAAAACGAAAACTGAAAAAAACGAGTCTTTATCTGTTTTTCATTTTGGTTTTGGAGACAAATAATGAAGAAAACTGTTCATTTTCTTATTTTTGGTTTTATATTGCAAAACGAATGAATGAATGATACACAGATTGTGACATCACACTCGCTTAGTCCACTTCTTTATACACTAGGGATGGGACAAGATCTCGTGAGACAAAATCGCCACAAGATCACGCACACAAGAGACAAATTAGATTTTTTTTTCCCAGTGTTTACATTTGGTTTGGACAGAAAAGAGTCACATGTTCGTGAGTTACATTTCTTTCAGCATTGTTTCCCATAGACTAAGTCGCAAGAGACTTTTTTTTTTGAGTCGCTTTGTCACGATCTGCATGTAGATCTGCAGTATACAGATCTGCAGACACATGAGAGCTCTAGTGAGTGAGCGATAAGCATTTTGTCAGAATATCCTGTCCTCAGTAGGGCCAGTATTTCTCTGCTTATTCCTCTCACTAGTACATATGTGTGTGAAACAGAAACAGAAACCTCCTGCACCCGGACTGGAACATGCTACAAAAACACAAACAGGCTCACCTATCTTAGAAATGTTGAAATGTTTTGTATCATTTCTAATCTTTAATCTAATTTTTTAATCTAATCAAATTATTTAATGACTATTTTGTTCCAATCTTGCTAGTTCAGTTGAATGTTGAAAAGAAAAAGCAATGGGCTGCATTTCAATGTCCAAATAGGCAACTTATGGATCCTTTAATTGCTGCTTCAATGACTGAGTTTAAAACTTGAGTCATACTAATTGTTCAGAGACACGATCACTCAGTCAACAACAAAATATCCTCATTAATGTTCAATAATGCTCAAATCCAACTTTATTTTGTAATTTATGAATAACGACTTTTAAAATATGAGTCTCTAGAAAAAAAAGCAGTACTAGAATGAAAACAAAACTATGAAATCAAATAAATACAAAAATGTGAGGCCAAAACTGGAAATTGAACTGTGAACTTTATATATTAGGAATTAAGTTAAAATCTCATGTTGTCTTGTTCTCGTGGACCCAACCTCGTATCTCGTTTCGTCTTGTGGAAATTGTATCTCGTCCCATCCCTATTGCACAGTGTATGAAAAAATTAGCTGTTAACTTGAAAACTATCGCTTCATGACATCACAAGGTGGAACAGAGCATGTTGAGATAATAAAGAGTTACTCAAACATTTCTAAATGAAACAAAACACAACTCCAGGTCTGTTTTTGATGAGGTAACCACGGTTATAAGCTCATAATAATAGCCAAATTTGCGTAATATAAAACCTTTAAATTTCTCCTTCAATTTCTATTTTTGCTTGTACACATTTGTGGCAAAATAGCAGCGACCAAAACAAAAAGCTTAACTAAAAAAATTTCGCTTCTAGATGAACAAAAGCACAAAAATCTGCCACAAAGATTTTAAAAAAATGTATATTATGCAGTATTTATTAATTTCTTCCTGTTGGGATATTTATAAAAGGTTGAATTAACCGTTAAAATCCCCCAAAATGATAAAAAAAATTTAGCTTTGCAACAAACTGATACTGAACAACATTTTGAAATTTAAAACAGAAATTTCAATATGGCTGGCTTCCTCCTTTTTATTATGAATGTATCTCAAGTTTAAGACCAAAACTACGTGTTGTTTTAAAGGTGTATTGCGCAACTTTTCTGGTGGAGGGTCCGTCACCCGCTTGTCGCCTTGGAGATGTTATTGCTTTGTCTGGAATGTTCCGCGGTGTGACTTTAAACACATCTATATAGCATTTATTCATTACAGGTGTTTTTGCTGCTAAAAGAATACAATAATTCTCTCTGTGAATAGCGTCGCCTCTCCACAGATCAGACCTGTAATGCTGCCTATAGTTGAGAAAGATCGGTTTAAGCTCTACTGTGGAACATTCTAGACAAAGCAATAGTATCTTCATGGAGACCAGCAGCGGACAGACCTTCCACCGGAAAAATTGCGTACTGCACCTTTAAGCTTTATTTTTGTTTGTATTTTCTTGTACGATTCTTATTTTTCTCATTTCCGTGCCTGGATGTAAACTTTGTGTCTTCAGAAATATTTTAAGATCAACGATTTGTGCAGTAAATGTTTTCAATGCAAATAAAAATGCAAGTGAAATGTATGTCAAAGAGTTGTGGCAATTGACAAGAGACAGAATGTGTTTAGATCATACTGATACACTGGGGGGCGCTACATGTATGTTATGTGCATTTATACATAATATTCCAGTAGATGCATCAAGAATCTTACGGTCACTGCGCAATGGGAAGGATTTTCCGAAAAAGTGAGCATCAAACCTCCATGTTTGTTTTCCCAGTGGGATGTGTCTATTGACAAAGTCAGTCTTTTCTAGTCTTTTGAACCATATCACTTTTGTTTCTGATTCTGATATTGTCATATTTTAGTTTTGGGATTCGGACATCGTGAATGTGTGGTTCGAGAAATTTGTTTGCTAACTCCATAAATGCAAAAGGGAATCAGATGTGTGTGACTACAAATCTCCATTCAAACTGTTTCTCTTCCCAACGGAACTGAAAAACAGAGAAAGGTGAAGGTGATGGGCAGGATTGATCCACAGGAAGAACCAAAAAGGAAACATTTGACTGTCTAAATCATCCTGAGTTTGCAGCAAACATTTTGTATGTGGAGCGACATCAAAGCAGATCCCGTTTGTTAAGTGAGAGGAGCAGAAGACAAACAGACTGAGCTGCACTTTCATCACGTCTTGGTCTCTTTTCATTGGAAGGTGTTTCTTGGTGAACAGTTGGTGCCTTTCACTTTGGCGTTGACTTTTTAAATCCATAACCAAGGTGGAGTGAGGGATCGGGATTTTACTTTTATGTCGCTCCACATACAAAATGTTGGCTGCAAACTCGGGATGATTTAGTCAGTCAAATGGTTTCCTTTTTGGTTCTTCCTGTGGATCAATCCTGCCCATCACCTTCACCTTTCTCTGTTTTTCAGTTCCGTTGGGAAGAGAAACAGTTTGAATGGAGATTTGTAGTCACACACATCTGGTTCCCTTTTGCATTTATGGAGTTAGCAAACAAATTTCTCGAACCACACATTCACGATGTCCGAATCCCAAAACTAAAATATGACAATATCAGAATCAGAAACAAAAGTGATATGGTTCAAAAGACTAGAAAAGACTGACTTTGTCAATAGACACATCCCACTGGGAAAACAAACATGGAGGTTTGATGCTCACTTTTTTGGAAAATCCTTCCCAGTATGAATTGCACAATGACCGGACCCCAGGGTACTAGAAGCATTCTCCAGTTACCAGGGCGACACATTGCGCACAGTCTGAAGTCTGAAAACTCCAAGAAAAAGTACAAAATGGATTTAAAGTGACTGAGCTCGCTTGTGAGAGACTTGTTTAAAGATGCACTGTGTAACTTTTTGCGTAGAGGCTCCTTCACCAGCTTCTCGCCATGGAGATGTTACCTGAATGTTCCACCATATGGCATTACACTTATTTATCTCTACGGTGACGACAGTGTCCGATCTGTGGAGGGGCAAGCCCGCTCCCAGAACACAAGTTTTTTAAATCAATAAAAATCCACGTTCTAGAGTAAATGCAAGATGGATATGTTTCATGCCATACTGGGACATTCCAGACAAAGCAACAACATCTCCATGGAGATGAGCAGATGGCAGATCCTCCACCAGAAAAGTTACACAGTGCACCTTTAACAGTAAAAATCTGCTCTTCTGTTGTAGTTCCAGCAAAATCAAAGAAGCCTCAGATAAAGTGTCACTCAAAAAACAGATATGTAAATTGAAATTGTAGCTGTCATTCAATTTTTTTTTTTCTTTATTTTGAAAGCGTGTCCATTGCCACAGCTCTCCTTTTCGTGTGTCTTAGTTTGTCGGTGCCTCTCGTCTGTATTTAAACGTGTGGATTTTTCTAGACGAGTTTTGCTTTGCATGTGGAGCTGCAGCCATTTCGAACCCTTACTTTACTTTACTTTACTTTTTTACTTTACTTTACTTTACTTGACTTTACTTTACTTTACTTTACTTTACTTTACTTTACTTTACTTTACTTTACTTTACTTTACTTTTACTTTACCATTTGCTTTACGGCAGCTTCCAACAACGCTCCATTATAGAGAGATCGTGCAATAAAATACTATAGTCGATTTAAACGTGTGTTTACTGTGGTCTTTGAGTCGAGTTCTGTTTTTCTGAGAGTATTTTAAGAATTAAAACAGTTAAAATGTCAAAAACCCTCTTAACAATGTTCTGCAGTTTGTTTTTATCCTTCAGGGACAGGGATTGAAACCAGCAAATAAAAGAAAAAGTAAGCAGACTTTCCATAAAAGAACAATAAAAATAGTTGAGAATCTTTTTTTTTTACATGAAAAGAGTTCAGTTTTCTCAGCAGGTACACGTTTGACAATGCTTTCAGTGTTTAGGTCAATTTCAATTTATTGTCCATCACGGTGCTCAGATATTTGTAACTATCTACAATTTCGACAACATCACCGTGAATCAGTGCTGGGAAGGTGACTTTTAAAATGTATTCCCCTACAGATTACAGATTACATACCCCAAAATGTAGTTTGTAATGTAATCCATTAAATGACTTAAAGTGAGTAACATAATCTGAGTACTTTGGATTACTTGATTACTTGAATGTAACATCTACATCCTGAAAATTCTTGTTTGTTTTCTTCAAATTGTCTGTTGAGCCCAAGTCTCCATGAACAGACTTTTGTTTTACTGTAGAGAAACAAAGACTAGAATATCTGAACATAAGATGTTTTATCTGCTAAAAGACAATAAAATGTCCAGACTTTCCTTAAACATATTAAAAATATTATTGATAGAGAAATTATTTCGATATGAGATCACCTTAAATTATGTCCAC